TTTTTTTACAGATCTTTGTAGTTAATGTAAAATGAATGACTATAATGAAGGGTATAAAACAAGGTGAAAGCTGAAAGGTATGTAATGAAGCCTTTATTAGATTGATTTTGTAAATCCCAGAAATGAGTGGAAAATGCAAATCAAACCCAATTAAAACCAATAATTTGATATACATCATGATATTTTTCTAGGGGGGGGGTAAAAAAAATTCCAAATTAAATATTTTTACCCCTGCTTATAAATACAATCTTTTGTCGCCTCTAAATACAACCTCGTTGAAAATACCCAAAACACTAAATTAAGGCACACCCTTCTTTTGAACCCGCTCAAAGAAAATATTTATTCCTTTACAACAAAAATATGTGCCACCATATCTTAATCCAACATCTGATTATCGAATCCTTTAATCAAATTTACTTATTACAAAGTCCTAAGCATGATTCCTACACTGAAAAAAGAAAGAATATGACCGCTATTGGAGTTTAGTTACCAAAGTATTAGAATTTAGTTTGAAAAAACCTACAACCTATGTTAAGCATAAAGTCAGACCGCGTCAACCTTGTTGCACCACTAGTCCTGTTGATTGTCTGCGGTACAGTACAAACTGGGATCGGAAAGATTGACCTGTCTCGGAAATAAAAATGTACTACGGCTGCCTGTGGTCTATAGTACCCTTTCCAGTGTCCACCTTTGTCTCTTCAAATATGAACTCGAGACAACCTTATTCCTTATTTCCACTTGTGCGTTCTCTGTAAAAGTGACAATTGCAAATTTATGCAACAAAGAAAAAAAAGGAACTTGTCAGAATTACAAAAACACAAGGATGGCCTTGTTGTAATTGAAATAAAGGTTGAAAGGGTCCCCTTGTGAATCTGATATGGTAAAGTAAGTCCACTATAAATTATGTGAACAGTCCCATTACTGAATGAAGTTGAGATTAGTTGCAACTGAGCTGATAGCGCCAAAGAATGATTGCAATTGAAATGTGATTAAATTAAACAATAATAAAACAACTTATTGGCCTTACTGTTAAACAATACTTGATTAGAATAAAATAAAGACAGACTTGTAGGGACGCCGGGGGAAAGGAGGGGACAGTGATAAAAAAATCTAAAATGTCAGTTACAAAAATTGAGTTATACAAATTATGTTGATATGGGTATCTAAAGATGCAACAGATGCCGCTGAATTCGATCAGTTTCTGCCTTAGACATGGTTAATCTTGGTGATTTCAACGTTTCTTCGTTCAGTGTTTCAACACAAATTTTTTAATTTCCAATTTAATGTATTTTTTGCTCGCGTTACTGAATTTTTTTACTTAAACATCTGACATAAAACCGGTTTCCACATAGCAATTTAGCAATGTTTTAAATGTTGCTTGTATAATGCATATTCAAGTACAAGTCCTTAATATTTCGAGTGACAATAGTGCAATTGTAAAAATCGGCCCCCATGACGTTCTATTACCACATTTGAATCCCAAAAAACAACAAAATTAAATAAAATCTCTTGGATCAGCTTACCTCAATATTTTCCAGATCCTTGATTCTGCAAATCCTTCCTCTATACCAGGTATTACTTCAAAATAAAATGTTCTACTATACCAGCAAACAAAAAACATGAATATGATCTTTGGTATATTTCATGTGTCAGGACCGGTTTTTTTCAAGGAAGTTTACGTTTCCCTTAGGTTCCAAATGTAGTTTGGTTTGTTCCAAATGTAGTTTGGTTTGTTCCAAATGTAGTTTGGTTTGTTCCAAATGTAGTTTGGTTTGTTCCAAATGTAGTTTGGTTTGTTCCAAATGTAGTTTGGTTTGTTCCAAATGTAGTTTAATTTGTTCCAAATGTAGTTTGGTTTGCTGGATAAAGGATGTAAAAATACAACCTCATCATTTATAAAGTAACCTTAAAACCAGCAGAAAATACTTTTCATTCTATTCAATACTATGGTACATTTAAAGGGACTGTAAGCATAATTTCAAGTGACCCTAAATGCAAAGATGGCAACGCCCGCTTAGCAATAGTAACCATAAAATCTTAAACTTTTAATATTTCAAACTTAGACTATTTAATCTAACAGAGTTCGAAATAAAATCACAAACTTCTAATATATTAGGTTGCAAAGGATTAGAAGATTTGAGTACCAGGCATGTTATCAAGGCCTTCCAATCTCTTGAGAATTAAAGAAATTTAGTTTTTTTGCACGGGCCATTCATTTTGTTTTCTTGCACGGGCCATTCATTTAGTTTCTTTGCACGGGCAATTCATTTAGTTTTCTTGCACGGGCCATTCATTTAGTTTTCTTGCACGGGCCATTCATTTAGTTTTCTTGCACGGGCCATTCATTTAGTTTTCT